TCACCAAGCTTTCTTCACATGTGCTCCTGGGAAGTGTTGCTTCCAGCTTCCCTCAGGAGAACATGGGAAGAACAATGACAACTAAGTCCTGTACAGAGGAAGAGCTCTCAAACAGCACAGCTAAGGACTAGGGAAATCAAAATGAAGAGTACACTTGGGAGGAGAGCAAATGTTTGAGCTTACAGTGAGTGATGTCTCTGGAAATCGGAGACATTTAGATGGGAGACAGATAGATGTTTTAGATACCCAAAGAGACATTCCACAGCAAAGACAATCTCAGTAAACTGATTTGAAACTACAAAAGTTGACCAGAAGTTGATTAAAAGGATCCCTTAAATTGTTGATTTTGCTCCTGCAGTAATGACTGGACTCATAGTGATACAACTACCTTGAGTTTAGTTTGTACATTTCTCTTGTACGAGAGAAGGATGATCAGATCCTATTCACCCAAAGCAATAAATCCCTGGATGATATTCTATCTGGGATAATTACATCAATAGAGATACTTCAGCAAGTGGCCACAACTCTGCTGATGTTGAGGTTTTTTTTAACTGATACTGAAGGAGACCAAAATAACTGCCTGCATGTATCTGAAGATCATTTATAGCACAGTTGAAAAGGGACAGTATAAAAGGTACCTAAATATAATATATGTGTGTTGTGTTAAGCCAAATAAGTTGATGAATCCAGTTGTGACCCAACGAGGACTCATGTGTGCCATATGTTCTAGAAGCTTTACGGATGAGCTCCCTGACTCAGCTGCTTAGATGGGCTGTAAAACTAAAGTATGAAAATCCTACAGAGGCTATGTAAAATGAGGTATTGGGAAAGAAAGAGCTTCTAAAAATGAGATCTGCCAAGGGACAGAATCACAAAAGAAGGAGTAGGGACCACATTTTTTGAGATACAGGCACTGAGTTTGATAGCTGCTCTGCACAGAGGTGCCTGGAAGGATGCTGAGCTGGTCTTTTCCATGTACAGCTGTGATTTTGTTTCTAGCAGCCGGCATGAATGAAAAATAAACTTGTTTTTCCTCAGAGTGAAGCAATTAACCATTTCAAATTCCTTCTCTATGGTAACATTAGGGATTCCCAGTGAATAGGTGGGATGTATTTCCCCACCTGTCAGTGTCCCTTCATTAGGCAATGCTTCCAATGCTGGCCATCTAGTTTTGGTACTTATTGCTCAACTGTTCCTTGTCAATTATAAACGTAAATCCTTTGCTGCTACAGCTGGATACATCAGATATCAGGCTGGACTCTCAATATGAGAGCTAACACATGGAGGCATGACTGACAACAGGCAAAAATTTGAATTAATTGAGATTCCCTTCCTCATTTGGAAACAACTCAGTAAAAATATAAACCTTGTCATATTGAAGGACGGCTTAATACTGCACTCCTAAATGAGACATGACTGAGTCTTAATCCCTCTGAGTGAAACTTGACTAGTTCCTATTAATAGTTCATTATTATCTCTGATTGTTTCCCCCCACTTCAAATCCTTTGTGTATCATTTACACGGGATTTTTAAACGGCAAAGCAAAACCCATTTGGAGAGACTTTTTCCCATTTTAATAACACTCACACACATCAGCTAAGTCAGTACTGTTTCAAACTCAGCCTCCCTCTTCTGCAGTGATCAAAATTAAATGCCAGCTGATCCCCAGGGAGGCTACAGGCTGAGCCAGGCACAGCAAGCTCCTCTAGTAGATACTGATGCTTTCAGTGAACCCACTCACTACTTATTTATGAGTTTAGTAGTAGTTCAACACTGCATTTTTACACAAATCACAGGATTCCAGCCCAGCATCTTGAGCTGAGACAGTTTCTCTAAACTCTCAGACTCATCCTCAGACTGCCTCCACCCAAATTTGCTATTTCTCAGTGCAAAGCTCTGCTAGTGTTTATTTCTGCTTACTGACAGAAGAGATGAGGGCAAAAATCTCTCTTTATTTTACCTTCCTAAAGAACTGCCTTCTGGCTGCCTCTGCTAGGAGGAACTGAAAGAAAAAAATGAATTAACATCCCTAATACCCACTACCAAAACTATGTGGGATAATTAACCACAGCTGACCAGGGCTCATCCAATAAAGCTCTGGGGGCTGTTAGCACCAGCTGTGTCTTTGTGCAGGTGAAGTCTTTCTTCCTAGGGGCTAACACAGATCACACTCATTTTCCTAAGGATGATGACCCAGGACACCAAAAGATTCAAGAACCTGTGATTTCAGGAACTTTAAACTTGTACTGGCAGGCAGTGTGTACTTGTCCCTCCGAGGACACCAGAGGGAGATCACCTCACTTGTAGAAGGAGGAAATGCACTCATTCCAAGGGTTCTTCTTTATAGCTTGAGCCCAGCCCCTGTGCTGCTATAACAAAGAGCGATCACCATGAGAGCAGTTCTTAAGGGAGGGAACACTGTTGTCAGCACTGCCATCACCCAGAATGCTATCAGCTAGTCAGGAGAAAAATCTGATGGGACTAGAGAATAACCAAAACCCTTAGTTCCCTTTTGGGTATGAAGTGAATTGGTTGTAGAGGATATTTAATGTTAAGCGCATCATTTGCTGTCCGTTTTGTGCTGCAGTTACAGGTGATCACAGGACACCTGAAAGTTACTGAGGAAATAAATTGGCGATGCAATAATTCCCATGAGCCCAGCTTTTAAAAAAAAAATTTTATTTCCAGTTTGCAAGTGAGCAAGACAGCAGGTAGTGCGGTTTTGTACTTAGCGTTCTGATTTTGTGCCAGCTTTATAGGGTGAGGATTATGCCCAGATTCAGTGATCCTGTTTTCAGAAAAGAGGCAGAAGAGCCAAGGTAATGTGCTGCCCTGTTTTAGCATTTGCTAGTAACATTCTCTGATTGGGACTACTGTGGTATTCGAGCTAGTCTTACTTTGCACCTTGCACAGGCATTCATGCCTGAACAAAGAACATACAAAATGCTGCTCTCCAGATTTGGCAGCACGTTTTAAGCATTTGGCACCACCATACATTTCAGCATAAAGTGCAAGAAAACAAAGAATCCAATCCCATTCACTTCAAAAAGAGGAAATAAATAAATAAATAAGTGAAAAGAGTATTTTGCACTTACCTAATGGCAAAATTTGCCAGGTCTGACAAGTCCCTTTTTTTAATGTCCCTGTCAGCCCTGCTTTTAAAACAGGAAGAATGGCAGCTGAGGGCAACTAATAGCTTACGGGGTCAATCTCAGTATTAGGATTTGAATGGAGAGATGAAAGAGGTCTAAAGGGAATGAAATCTCCGGCCACAGAACTATGATCCTTTTGGGAATTATTCCCATGGGGCCACTTAGCAACAGGCCACCATCCAAGCAAAGAGCCCCATGAGCAGAGGAAAAACTTTCTTCTTTCTATTTTGCCCTCTCTGCTGAAGATTCTGATTCAGACTCATTCCCTGGGGAGTCCGTGCCTCATCAAGAAGAAATAAAGCTGGCCCGTCTAAGAGTGATTGTGTCTCCTGCTCTGCAAAGGCACACATTTCTCTTATCCCCAGGAAGAAAATTGTCTCATTTTATATTCAGAATCAAATGTACTGAAATTATAAGCGGTGGAATAATTGCGTTCAACACGACACACTGCATCTGACCTTAATAAGACAGCCTGGTGGCCTTAATGGTTATGGGACTGGCTGCTTCTATTCGTAGACCTGGGGATCATTTCTGTATTCTCCCCGCAGTAAAAATAAGTTATCTGCTTCTTGCATTATGTCCGTGTGCTCCATATGACCCTGGGGGCTCCGGCAATAACTCGTTTCATCCTGCTGCAACTCAGAGTTTATTTGGTCACTGCCACTGACATAGAAACAAAGAAAGTAAACATTTACCTAGAGAGAGGAATAGACACGGATGTGGAGTCACTATTAACCTTAATTTTTTGAGCCGAGTTTTAGCAACTCTGGAAGAAACTTTAGCTTTTCTGACACAATGAAGTTACCCTGAGTATTGGTGAGTCCAATGCAGGAAGGACATGCTTCTTTTATAAAGGCATTTGGATAAAAATCTGACACAAACCAAAATCTGTTAGCAGCCCTCACTTCTGACCTCCAGGTCACACTGCTACTCATATTCTGCCCCCACACATCTCTGCTGATGCTTGTCGGTCATAACCTACACCCCCTACTATTAGAGCACCGAGCTAACCGTGCCATCCAGAAAGCAAAATTTTCTGATGGGATAACTATATCACAAACCCATCACACGAGTTAGAGTTATTAGTCTTTGCTTGGAAATGTCCCTCCACTTTGATGATGGAAATCCACAGGATGGGAGGGGATGATTAGCCCCATCTAGGACATACCCTTGGGAGCCTCCAGATATGGATATCCCTCTTTTCCTTGAGGATCAGTTAATCAAAAGCACTGAGATAAGAGATGAAAACATCCCACCTTTCTGCTGAGTAACAGCAGCAGCTGGAGAGAAATGTGTGGATATAACTGAGATCTAACAACTGTGTGCAAATTCTATTCTCCAGAGAAGTGCAAACATGAAAGTTGGGTGAGTACTTTGCCTCCCTTCCCTGGAAGAGGATGAAATAAGGTTTCTGGATTTAAATATCCAATATTAAGTTATAACAGTGCTTTCTTCCAGGACTTGTGCATCCTTATTTGTTCTAGTTCAGCTTTCTCCATAATCTTGGATTTCTTCAAACCAAAGGCAATGGCAAACACTTTAACCCCTTGCATTGCTGTTCCTTAAGCGTTAAAGAGACTTTCTAGTATTTCCTTCACAGGGATTTTGGAAAGATAGTGCTCCAAATGCTTGGAAAGGTGTTCAGGGGCTGTGGACATAGACGCTGTACAATATATTGACATGAAAAAATAACTGATATGTGTCTTTATCAGAAAATAGCAAGGAAATCGCAAATAGACCAGGAGACTTGAAGAAAAGGTATCTGCCTTATTTTCCCAGGTCTTTCCTTGGTCTGCTAGGTGACCCTGTCCATTTCCCCAGTTACAATATGGGAACAGTAATACTTACCTCACAAGTCCAGAAATCGGGAGAACTGAATTCACTTGCAGAATGCTTCATGATTTTCATCACAGATTGTGTCTGAGAATTAGTAATGCCCTTGTCCTCATGCAGCCCTGATGCAGCTGTTTCTGAGTCTCTCACATTCCAGAGCTAAAGCAAAGAAAGCAGAAGTCATTATTGCTTTAACTACCCCTGTGCAGACCTGATGCACTCTCTGAAACACATCTTGGATGACACAACACGTAGCCCATGTGTTGAGGGCAATCACACAATGTCTCTGTAGTTACATTAAACCACAGCACGTAGCACGAAGCCCCATCCTTGTTCAATGAGCTTTGCAAAACAAATCATAAGCAAAACCAAAGGCTTTAAGAGAAACTGAAAACTCCATCTTACCTTTGTGCCCCTGAGCTGCCTCCACTGGCTCACCATGCAGAGCTGAGCCCCTGAGCTGCCTTGGAGAACATGGCAGCATAGCAGACACCTTGTGGCAGTTTGTCACTCTGTTGCACATCAGGGACATCCGTTCACTTCTCTGCAGAATGCCTCTGGCAGGAACTTTCCAAGCTGAAGCATGTCCTTTGTCTCTGAGGAAGATCCATAATCTGAAGACAGAGAGGATCTCCAAATGGCAGGAACTGGTCAGTGTCACTTAGCAGTGACAGGGTTTTTGCTCTTGGTGTTACGAAGCATGGTTGCATCATTTATGGTTGATAGCCTATTCTACAGCCCCCTCTTTGCAGTGCCACCGTGGAAATGTCTGTGTAAATATGAATTTCAATAGCCATTATAGTGCCAGCAGTAGCAATCCGCGTTTGGTACCTGCTGATCTGTCGTAGTCATAAGGCTACTTATCTCCTGCTCTTTTCAAATACCTCAGCAGTGGATACAAAAGGGAAATGGCAGAAGCTATTCTTATGTGGAGTCTGAGAGGGTTTTTTCGTCTTTTCCTTTTTTTTAATTTCCTTTATGCTCTACCGTTGCTACATTACTAAATGTCACATTCAAAACTGATGACAAAGTTTGATGAGAGATAAGGGATAACAATCTTCCCAATTTCTGCTCATGTAAGACTCCTGGCCTAGAAGAGCAGTTAGTTGCAGGATGAGGTTGTGAGGGTACAGAGCTTTCTTGTCTGCTCGCTAATCAAAGCACCATGGTCTGAAAGCTTTGAAAGATTTAGTTCAGATCACCTTTGTGCTCATTTTTAGCTCCGCTATCTATTTGGTAGTGAATCCTCAGCTCCAGTCTACAGCTGTTGAGTTACTAAAGGATGGTGGGAGAGGAGAGCTTGTACACCGTGGACATAGGCATTGTTCATAAGACAAAGAGAGGTAAGGTTTCAGAGGGAGTTCCAGTGAGGATAACAAGAATGAAAATGCCCTCACCCACTCTTTCCTCTGCTAGCCTATTCATCACGAAGTGTTAGTGAAAATTGCTGGTTCTCTGACCACAGTGGAAAAAGATTTCAGAAACATAAGGTAAGAGCACCAACACAAACAGCGACCTTTGCAACTTTCTGCTTGGAGCTGCAGGAACACATCATCACTGGATACCACCTTCAAACTTTTGATGCTCCTTTACCTTAGAAATAAATTTGTCTTTCTTCACTTGCATGTTTTTTTTTCTAATTGTCACGAAGGTAAATGGATCCCTTCACCACCAGCTGACAAGACTGACTACTTGTACAGCTGTGATTGGAAATCTCCAGGACTTCATTGCTTGGAATTTGCTGTGGCAGAGAAAAAGAAGGGGTCAAGGCCAGTCAGTTGGTAGCGCGGCAGCAGGCAGCCTTCCTGCCCTGCCTGATATAAACAAGACATTGCTCAAATGCTCCCATTTTCTCTACTTCTCACAGTGTTACACATCATTGAAAATCTTCCTCATTCTGCAGCTTTTGCTGGAAGGTTCAGTCTTAGAAATAAATCCTAGATTAGCGAAACAGGAAGCTTTTCAAGCACTGATTGCTAGAGGCTGGGGAGGAGAACCAGGCAAGGCACGGACAGTCTGTTCTGACATTTACACTGACGCATTTACCACTGCCACTCTGCTACCAGCTGCTGGGCTGAGTGGACTTGTGATCTGATGCAGTGTGGCTGTCTCCTCTGCTCCTCTTTATGGAAGGGGTCAATAAGTAAATTTATCTGTTAAAAGTTAATAGCTTGAAATTTCATTCCAATTTCCCTTGCCAAGACAGCTAATGATAAATTTAGCTTTTAAGAAAGAGAGCAGACATATAAACCTCTCCTAATCAGAGGAATGGCAAGGCACACTGTTGCTTCCTCTTAATCCAATCTGCAAAACTAAACTAATACTCTGCCTTTCACAAGTGAGGGTCCATATGGACCAATATATTCACAGACCTTCAATGTTTTTCATATTTTTAAAATGTCCTTCACTGCTGTCACCTCTGCAATCCTTCCAATAGCATCAGCAGTGGCAGGGCTATCATGGACCAGCAGTGCTGTTGATGTCCTATTACCACACTGTTTAGGCCCTCACAAATCAATTTTGGGTGATATTGCAGTGCAAATGTCAGCAGCCAGGGCTGTAGTGTTGGGAAGCTTTAGAGAGAAAGCATGGGTTTCTGCTGAACTGGACTAATATTTTACATCAGGGATAATAAACAACAGGATCATAGAATCATAATCATTAAGGTTAGAAAAAACCTCTAAGATCATCTGGTCCAACCACCACCCATCCCCACCATGCCCACTGACCATGTACCTCCGTACCACATCCACACATTGGACACCTTCAGGAACAGTGACTGCACCACCTTCCCAGGCAGCATGTTCCAATGCCTCACCACTTACTTTCCGAGAAGAAATTCTTCCTAATATCCAAATTGAACCTCCTCCAGTGCAACTTGAGGCTATCACCTTTCATTCTAGCATTAGTTATGTGGGACAAGAGGTCAACCCAAACCTTGCCACATCCTCCTCTCAGAGCTCATGCTCCAGACCCTTCCTTCCTCTTTATCTTCTGCCCCAGGTGCAAGAATATTCAGTAAAGGATGAGACAGGGATCCTTGACATGTATCTCTAATTCCTATTGATTTTTTTTCAGGCAAAGCCATATATAACAATAGTCAGGACAAAATAAAAGCCAAGAGCAAGGCCTAAAAACCTCAGATATTCAGGTTTTCTTGATATTGATTATCTTGATTCAGTGCTTTTCTTCCTACTCAAATCTGACGATAGCATTGCAGAGAGAAACAACTCCAAGGTTTCTGAGAAAACAGGACAAGTGCTGTATGCCTGGGAAAAAAAAAAAAAAAAAAAAGAAAAAAAAAAAAGACCAAGAGCAAAGAAATAAGGTTGAATCAGAATTTGGCTTTCTTCAAACATACCCACTCTCCTCCCATTGCTCCACTGAGCTGGAAGCTTACAGCATCATCTGGTTGTGGAAAGGCGAAGGCTATTTGCACCCTCCATATTCTGTGCTCAATCATTGCGATTGCATGAGCAATCACCAACTTAGGACAAAGTCTGATACTGTCTCCATCGAGTTGGCCTCTTTGTATGTGCTGGAAGAAGTGTCATTTTGGTCCCTTTCCACACACATTCACATGCAAGGCACACTGTGACTTTGCTGCCATTTGCCTTTCCTGCCCCACAGGGACAGACTTTCAGGAGGAAGTGGGAAAGTGCCGATGGCACTTTAGAACATGTTTAATTTGCCTTTTGTATGACTGCTGCCAGAAGCTGAGGAGCATTTCACCTCAGAGTTTGTCTCAGAAGGCCAGAAAATCCATTTGGTTTAAGATTTTCCACAAGCCTGTCTTTGTGGGTGCAGTTTATCCAAAGGAGAGATCAATCATAGAGTCATAGAATCACTTGAGTTGGACGGGATCCTTACAGGTCATCTAGTCCAACTGCTGTATTGAACAGGGATGAGATGTTCTTCTTTGGTTTGGGGCAGCCACATAAAAGCAAGACAAGCTTTTATAGAAAACAGGAACTAGAGTGAATGAGCCCAGATTTGCATTCAAACTTAAGCCGCCATCAATCAAAACGAGAGATATTCAAGGTGATCTTTTCAGCATGTTTCCTGTTGGCAGTTTATATGCATAAGTGTAATTCTGTGGCGCATGTATAGATTTGTATATATCTGCTGATTATTTATGTGAATTCTGGCATATGTGTTTACGCCTATTCTTGAGGCTTACTCCTATTCATTAAGCAATACTAAGTAGGTTAGTTAACCTACTTTCCAGTGTTTACCTATGCAAAGTAATAATCAAATTGTACTTACAGCACTTTGCAGCCAGGACACTTGGGGCACTGTAGAACAACAATAGAAACAATTCAGAGTACGATACAAACATCGTATTAAAATCATCTTATAATTCAAACAAAGCATGCTGAGTTCCTAAGAGGCAGAGCAATGGAGATGTCAGAAAGGAATAAGTATGTGGTTACAATGGCTTTGTTTCAAAGCACATCAAGAGAAAAGTGTGTCTTAGATGGATTTAGCACTGACCTGACAGTAGAGTGAGCTCCCAGTGCCAAAGCCCTTTCTGACAAAGACTGACTCTAAAAGATGAGCTGTGTCTGGGCACCATGCACAGTCACATTAAGCTTGAAGAAAGCAAGACCGAACTATTGCAGGGATCTGTGTCATGAAGGGCTTTCCAGCTGCAGTAAGTGACAGTCACTCTGCCTTGTGGGAAGCTGCCACTGCACTGAGCACAGGGCATGGGGAGTTTCATGCACCAGTGGGGACAGGGGGAGTGACCTCCTAATGAACAGTGAGGGTTGTTCCACCAAACAGCAAATCAAGTGGCCTGTTGTGGGCACAGAGGAGAAGCCCACCCTTCTTTTTTTTACGTCACATCTGCATGTCCCCATAGCTTTGCCAATGGGAATGCCAGCTGCTCAGCTTGCCTGCCAAGGTGTCCCCAGAGAATGCTGTGGGAACTGTTGTTGTTCCTCATGAGGTTCCGGGAACAGAGATACCAAGCCAGAGGGAGCCGTGCAGATGAGAGTCCTGTGATTTGTTGAGTGCCTACTCCAAGGCTAGCGCTATGCAGAGGGAGCTGTGACTGGTGATAAGCGCCTAGCTCCAAGGCTACTAAGAGCTAAACAAACCTGTGCCAGTTTTGCAGCAAGCAGAGCTGATAGCCATCCTCCTGCTGCATGCTGCCCTGTGCCTTCTCTGTGTAAATCAGGGATTTCCTGCTCAGATGCCCAATGCTAGAGCTGCCTTTAAGTGCCCCAAGTTGATTGCAATCGGATACAATCGGTACAAGTTGGCTCTTGCCTGAATAAAATGAAAATCCTAAGCAAAGTCATGTCTGACAGAGCTGAATGTGGTAGAGCCAGAGGAAGGCTGAACACTGCCCTCTGCCTTTTCAGCTCTGTGCAATAGGCATTTTCACCCCGAAGTCTCCCATAGCACCTACAGTGGTATTTCAGGAAAAATTCCAGGACAGTCACAAGGATCTGGGGTGAGGCATGAGTTCTGCTGGTGGTATGCAGTGAGCTAGGAACAATGATGGGAAGAAAGAGTACTGAAGAGGGAAAAAGCACCAGGATACGGATGCTTATGCTGGTTTACTCTGGGAGGCACCAGGAGGCTGTGGATCATGCTGACTGTCTGACAGGAGTCCCAGTACAATCATAGCAAAAGATCCCATAGCGACCTATCTGGCTGTGTTGACAACTGTGTTTGAGAGTCCCACAGTATGTGAGACTTCATGTAGTCTAAAAACAAAGCCAATAATTTAATATAATCTCACTGACATAAATGCAATCATGGATTTCTCGTACCCATTCAATCATGAATGCAGCATACATATTTTCCCTCTAATTTAAGGAATATCAGATGATCTTGGTCCAAACTTTAATTTAATATAATGAAATAGGGAAAGAGCCTTCAGTGTATAAATAAAATTACTTGTTTGCTAAATCAGAGTAGCACAGAATACAAATTAGTTACCAATATTTGTACAGTGCTTAGACAAGTAAGTCCTTGAGTAAAAGTCCTCTTGGAGTATCCGCTTGAGAAAAGGAGTCAAAAGATACTATTCTACTGTCTTTGTGTTCTCTCCAGCAGCTGTGCGGGTGTGATGGGTAGGAAGTGGATCTGGCTGGCAGGGGTTATAGCACAATCTCTTTTCTTCCACAACTGTACCCCAAAATGCATAAATGTTATAGGGAAGAGCACTGTCCAGAACTGGTACTCCCAGTGAAGTAATTGGTGATGGAGAGAATGAGACCTTATGGTGATATTGAGACAGAAACCAGAATGTCTTAAAATTTGCAGTATTGGAGTCATTACTGAGTTTCTCCAGACAGTGCTTTAGCTGGAAAAGTTGCTGTGGCAGTAAAAACAGCATCCCTAGAAGACAGCCTGAGACTCCAAGCTGCCAACCCTAATCTAAGTTTATTATGCAGGGCCATACAAGAACAGCAACAGCAACACTGTCCTTTCAAGGTTAAATGTTTGAAATGACCTAGTATATCAAAGGAAGTGATATATCAGGATAAATTGGGCCAATTGTTAGAATTAACCCTCAGAGGAGGACTGTCCAGAATCTCTTAAGTGCTGCTTTTCTTCCCAAAAACCTCCTGTTATGCTGCCTCATGTATTATTAGTGACATTAGACCTATATCTATGGCTTCTCTGTCACAATCCTTACACATCACTCACTGACATTGGCCTTTCCTCACAGCTTTCATAAAGAATGACATTTTTGACATCACCCTATGAGGAAGAAGTAAAGAAACAGAAGAAACAAAGAAGCATGCTATTTCAGTATGAAAACATAGAGATTCCACTAGTTAGTGATCTGAGAGTTTAGAAGACAGGTGATGTCTCCTGTAGATTCCTTCTTGTAATGGAAGGAAGAAGATATGTGAAGGATTGCCTCTCACTGTTCTGAGCACCTGATGAGAAAGTGATTGAGAACTTCCAAAGTTTGTTTCATTCATGTGGGGCACATTTATATTTTGGGGATATTTGAATTAAACAACCTCCTGTGGCTTCCTTGCACAGTTTGAGAACGTCCTTTCTTCTTCTTCTTCTGGTATTTAGGAATGAGGAACTGTGGAAAATGTGCAGCATGGGAGAGAAGACCAGAGCTCTTCTAGGAAGAAGTTTGATGGTGCTGGAACAGACCACTTGTATCCCAGTATGGATACTTCTGCCTTTCTCTTTTATTTTTCTCCTTTTTGCTCTGTTTTTTTCTCAAGAGGAAAAAGGGAAAGGGGACAGGGAAGGTGAAAGGAAGAGGAGGGGGAGGAGCAGGAGGAGGAGAGGGGAAGGGGAGGAAGGGGGGGGAGGGGAGGGGAGGGAAGAAAGAAAACACCTTAAAGATATTGATCCGCAATAACACAAATAGCACAAGATGATGATATCCAGAAACTAATAGAGGAAACACTCTTATGGGACTGATCTGCAGTCCATGACAGTGTTGGAATTCACTGCAAAACCTGACTGCTATATTGTTCAAAACTCTTGATGTCTCATTCTCGCCCTATTTTTCCTTGGTGTCAGCACTATACCTGCATGACAGCATTATGTGTAAATGAACAAACAGAGCATTTAGTGCTGCACAAATTTCTGGGGTCATAACTCAGTTTTTACTCAGTCTTTTCTCAGCCTCCTTCTGGAGAAAAAGCTGAATTATGTAAATACGGAGCATGTAAATAGCAAATGGATAAACAGATTATGAAATTTCTCCTAAAACTTTGTTAATTCTTCAGTCATTATTCACTATCTATATACAAACAGGTATAAGCATAGGTGCAATTATCTTCCAGGCTAGACAAAGTAAAACTAATGAAGACTACAGATGCCAGAGAAAAGGAGAGCTCTGAAGGTCCGAAAGAAACTCATTGACAGACCTATTCAAATGATCATGGCTGCATGGGAAAACAGATCTCAGGTGAACTCAGAAGTGTTTTTCTGTACTTGGGAAGTCTAGGTCAAAAGAGACATAACTGGACAAGGGATGCAGTTTATTATAATGACATCTTCTACAACTGGTGTTTCAGAGCACTCCAGCTTAATGATGTTCATCTCTCATAGTTACACCAGTGATACAGTGTTAACACCTCAGCAGCAGAGATTTACCTATAAATGCAGAATCCCACTGACAAAGGAGACATTTGACTCTACTAGTCAGTGAATAACAATTAGGATATGTTATGGTCCTGGTGACTATAAATCTGGAATAAATATACAGAATTCCTTTAGCTTGCTGCAGATTTTCAATAGCATAAACTGTTTTCACATATTCAGTTGCAGTACTGCAGATTTATATTGATATCATCATACAACTTATGTCCATTTCATTTGGAAAGAGAAGGTAACAAGCAACTAGAGTCAGCATTCTCATCACCTCCCTAGACGTGCATAAAAGCTATAGAACAAGCCTGACTTTTCTGGTGAAGGTGAAGCAAACAATGCTCTTTGCATTATTATTCTGAAGGTTGCTTCGCCTCATGGTACTGAGCCATATTGATGCAGACAGTGGCAATAATGTCTTACATTTCTGTAGCACCTTTCATCCCTAAGGAATCTGTGAGGGATCCAGTTTAGAGGTTTCAGTGAAACACTTTGACTCTCCTTTGCTGCGTGGAGGCTTATTAATTAAAGATTTCCAAATTGGCATTTGCAACCTTGCCTGGGGCCTACACAGCTCGGTTTGAAGCTCTTGACAAAGTCAGCATCAAGTGACCACCCAGCCAACAGCTTCAAAAAGAGTTCTAAATAAATGTCAAGGACTCTCAGAGAAGAGCCACACTTTGTAAGTAAAGTCCTAATCTCAGAATAATCCCACTGCTAGAACTTCACTATGAAGTATGAGGTTGGTGACGAATCTCCAGACAATGGATACGTAGCCTGGCCTGTCAGAAACAAAATTCAAAGAAGCACATTCAGACACCCAGTCTGAGAGGGAATCTAGGTCAGATGGAGGCCAGGCAAAAGTTATGCATAGAATCATTAAGGTTGGCAAGACCACCAAGACCATCTAGTCCAACCACCAACCTATGCCTGTGACTGCTCTAGACCATGTTACTCAGTGCCACATCCACATGCTTCTTCAACGCCTCCAGGGAGGTGACTCCACCACCTCCTGGGCGACTGCTCCTCACCATGGAAAATCTTTCATACATAAATCTGGCTGTCCTCTGGCTCCATTTCTGGTAATAGATCTCATGGCAGTAAAGGCAGACTAACAAACAAGAGAATTTGGTATCAAACTCCGGAAATAAGAGAATTAGAGCCACTAGTAAATATTTCCACCTCAGAACTTATACAAACAAGACGAAAT